TAGAAGTTCTAATCCAGATGCTGGATTATACTACTCCTAACTTATACTACTCAGACCTTTGAAGGGCCACTGACAAGAACATCAAACAGCTAGAGATTGACATCACTAATCTGAAGAAATCCCTCGTTTCGCTGTCTGAAGAGACCTCCTAAAATCGCAAAGATCCTTATTGGACTTGATTTACTCTATTACAATAGAAAAGGCTGTGTACAGCTCTTGACTGTGTACAGCCCTTTAAGAAGAAGATTGCCTTTACATAGACAAGACAAGGAGGGTTAAAGAGAGCATGAAATAGGTAGTGAAGGCCCTAAGAAAAATCAGAGAGAGAAAGAGACAGATGAATGCTGGTACAAGAATTGGTTTTCAACCTTTCCAAGGTTGTCAACCCTATTTCCTTCCATCTTGGGACCATTATTTGGGTTCTTTTTGCTTTTATCTGCTGGTCCCTGGCCCTTAAATAGGCAGACTAACTCTGTGATACAACAGATAAATAATTTGGTAGCAAAACCTACTCAGATACATTATCATAAGTTAGCTATGGAGGACCACGAGACTCAAGATGAGATTGTTACTTTATACAGGGTGTTCCCAAAACCCATATCCACCCAACCTAAAAGGGGGGACTTCTGCCCCTAGACTAAGCAGAGAGGGGCCACCCAGAACCCCCTCTGACAGGCGATCTGAATTCTTGCTTAGGCTGCGAGGCTAAGCACTGCAAGGGAACATAAATAAAAGATAAAAATATTTCTCTGGGTTCCCTGAGGGACAAGCCTGACTGCATAGGGGTTGATGTCAAAAGTATCCCCTCTCCAGTAAAAAGATATTGAGATGGGTATGGCCCTCATGCCTCACTGGACAACGACAGGGGGACTGGAGGTCCCCTTCAATTACTGGAGGTCAGGCCTCTATCCCCTCCTTCACAAGATTAGAATTGCCACAGCCCTTCTATACTTAGAGAAGGGAGGAGATGTCAGGGGCAGCCCTGCTTACACACTGAAGGCCTAAAATCAGCCATAGGCCTAAAATCAGCAATAGGCCTGTCATACATGTATACTAACACCAAGTCTTGGGTCTCAGTGGAAAAACATTGAAACAGATGGCAATAAGCTAATGTAAACAGGCAGCTTTTGTGGAAATTTACAAGCCTGAGTAGCCATAGACCTTGTTAATAGGTAGCCTTGGCAGACAATACCAACTTAGGTAAGGACAAGCGAGTCATAGGCAGAGTCATAGTGACCTGTCCCCTGAACCTTCACCCAGCTGATACCTGGTTATGAAGATATCTGTACTCCCCCTGAACACCCACACTCCAGTGTCATTCCCTTCCCCACATCCTGCCTTTCTGTGTTTATAACCCCTGTGTGAATGAATTACGATTTGAGAAAAAATAAATTATATAAAAAAAAAACACTGGAAAAAAAGAAATCCAATAAATAAATAAATAAATAAATAAATAAATAAATAAATAAATTCCCTTTGGCTGTCTTCTGCCCTCTGGACTGAAATAATGTTCTGTGCCTTTTGACCCACACCTATGGTTTTTACTAGGTCTCAAAGGTATGAACCTACTACTGTTGTCTTACAGATCCCTGTTAACTACTTTTTCTAAAATATAGATTTCAATGCAGTGGTAAGCTAATGTGTGTCCTTTTGTAAAATAAAATGCACATAAGCTTCAGAGACTCAAAAACAGTCATGAGAGGTGGATCCGTCTGCCACTTATCAAATGTACTTCAGATAATTACACCCACCTGTTCTTGAAAATGGGCTTTCCCCCTTGGTCTTGGGATTCCTCAACTTCCCCAATTACTAGATAAATTTAACTTCTGTCCCTAGTCTATGTTTGTCTCAGCAGATTTTCACCTGGCTGACAGACTCCATCTAAGGATCACTTGGGGAGCTCCTGAATCCTAAACTTGCTAAAAACTGATGTTAACCAGTCCAGCTGATATCACTGTCTTTCATCTGGATCAGCTAATCAGATCCTTCTGATGAACTCCCCATTGCCCAGCCTTTGACTAGCATTTCAGCCTTCCTGGACCCCTATGACAATGTCCTAATATCAGCTGGAAGTAGTTACAGAAAATAATACATCGTCATCCAATGTCCCACCAAACTGGCTGAAATGCTAAGTCGAAAGGAAACTCCCTGGCATAAGGGACAGATGGCTACCTATAATGCCAACTGACATACCACTACACAGCACATTTCCACTGATAGTCTTATGGTCCTCCACATCCAATATAACTCCCTGGCCTCAGAGGAAATTTTTGAATCAATGATTTGACCCCCTGGGACAACTCAAAAGAGGGAATGTTGAGGCCTGCTCCTTTTAACATAACTGTAACCATTTTATATTCAGTCTCCGTTTTGACCATAAAGTGAAATTAAGTTCAGGTTCTGAGACTTTACTTCCCAGAAATAATTGTCCATTGCTGACACTGACAAAATTCTCCTAAAAGGTCAGAACACTATGGTTGTATTATTTATGTTCTGTTATCTCAATGCTCTGAAACTCCCATGCTCACCACCCATCCACCACACCTCTTACCTCACTTAGGACCACTCAGCTTAAAAGTCAGCTGATAATACTTTGTCTAGTTAGCCAAAATATAGTACTGCCTTCACCCTTGTCTTCTGAACTTCTGAACTTAGGTTTTCCTATAAAAAGCCCACCCTTGGAACAGACTGGTATCACAATTAGGCTCCCGCGTCCTTTCTTGTGGTTCTGATTGATCAGTCTTGGAGTATGTGTTCAATAAAATATTCTTGCTTAACTATGATCAACGTTTGTATGTTTTGTGTGGTGATTCCTAAACTCCAACAGAATCCATTTAAAGTTAGCATGGCAGGAGGTGGTCAGGTGAGTCAATATCTTGAGTTTGGGAGCCTACATAAAAGAATAGCTTTCTCCAGAGCATTGACTATATTAATCAGTCCTCTATCTCATTGCAGAAGCTGTAGTTTGTCACAGTGTGTCCCAGTCTATCCCTCTGTCCACACATCTTCACGTGCAAATGTTCATTGCAATGAGTCATTAGTCTGGTTTGAGATCTTTGGCTTCTGTGACACCATCAATACTGGATCCTCACCAGGACACCTCCAGGTTATCCTGCTGTTTCCCTGTGTCTTGGAGATCCTGGAGCTTTGGAGCAGAAGGACTGGCCCTTTCACAAATCTCAACCTTTTACAGATGATATAGATTTGGGGGTGGGCCAATTCAGAGCACTGGATCTGGGCCTGGGTGGTAGCTGAGCTGGTCAGCCTGCCAACTTTCCCTTATCCACACCACCAGGGCTAGCTCTCCAGCACTGCCCCAGCTAGGCCACACAACGCTACTATTGGCAGGAAGCAGGATCAGCTCTCCTGATCACATGCCCTCAGGGCCAGCTCACTCACACCCATGTCTCCAGAGCCAGCTCCATCGTGCTGCCCAGTTAAGGTGCAGGGCCCACTCTCCCAAGTGCTACAGACAGACAGTAAGTGGGCAGGGATAGGTCTCCTCACATGACCCCAGGGCCAGCTCTCCCTAGTAGTGCAGGTAGCAAGTGGGAGAAGAGATTATCTCTTCCACACCCACACTACCTCACAGCAGAGGAGTGGCAGGGCCAGCTCTTCTGTGCTCTCACCCTTGGTGCTGGCTCACTGTGCCCCCTCCACCAGGGCCAGCTCTACTGTGCTGCCCAGATGAGGTACGGGGCCCATTCTCTCAGCCAGCAAGGGACAGGGCTGGTTCACCTGTTCACATGACCTCAAAGCCAGTTCTCCCGACTGCCATAGGTGGTTAGGGGGAAGAGGGGAAGGGCATCAACCCTACACCTACACAACCTCATGGAAGACTAGTAGTGAAGCTAGTTCTGCATGCTCACCCTTGGCTGGCTCACTTGCTCTCCCCCAACCAGGGCCAGCAGCACTACTGTGTTGCCCAGGTGAGGTACAGGCCCTGCTCTCCTGAGTCCTTCAGCCAGTGAGGAACAGGACCAGCTCTACTGTTCTCAGGACCCCAGAGTCAGATCTTCCTACTGGTACAGGTGGTGAGGGGCAAAGCGGAAGGCATCACCCACTCCCAGCACCCAAACTACCTCATGACATACTAATGGCAGGGCCAGCTCTCCCATCTTTGACCCTCAGGCTTGCTCACCTGTGCTATTGCCAGCAAGGTCAGCTCTGCTGTGCTATTCAGGTGAGGTGCAGGGCCCACTCTCCCAAGTGTTGCAGCTGGTGAGGGACAGGGCTATCTCTCCCTCGCTTATGACCCATGGGCAGCTTTCCAAATCGCCAGAGGTGAGGAGGGGTAGGATGGGGCATCACCTCTATTCTTGTGTCACTTCACAGTAGATAAGTGATGGGGCCAGCTCTCCCACACTCACATACATCTTCGGGGTCACCAGCTCACCTATAATCCTGCCACCAGGATTAGCACCACTGTGCAGCCTGGTGAGGCACAAGGCCTGCTCTTGTAGTGCTGCATCCCAAGTGAGAAATGGAGCCAGCTCTCCAGAATGTCAAGGGGGACAGGGCCAGTTTTACACAGCCTCTGGACATATACATGGTCCCTACTGGCTGTCCTGGTCAGCAACATCTCTACGTTCTGTACACTGATCTCTACTGCTGCAGTAGTGATGGCCTCAGATATAGCCTTCAGTGGAAGCTCTGGCTAGGGCTTCACCATGGCCCCAGGTGACAGGGCTGGCCACTCACCTCTTCTCTACCCTGAAGTCTCTAGTTCCATCTCTTCTTAATGCTCAAGGTGCTACACTTCTCTTTCTCTCCCATCTGACACCACATACTTGCACATTCTGGTGGCTCCAGCAGCAGGTTGACCACAAAGCTGGTAGGCCCCTAGGTGACATTCTCTATCTGTGTTGCATGGCTTGGTGGCAAGTGGGTGTCTCTAGCCTGCCTCTGCCATGCACTGGAGGGCAGGTGTGTGAGTAGCATGGCAGTCCGAAGGGTTGTCTCCTCCTCTTCCTCCTCCTCCTCCTCCTCCTCCTCCATTTTTATGAGTCCTAGGCATAAAACAGATTTGGATACCAAACCAGGCATCAAGTTAGGATGAACAAAGTACTGCTGTCTGCTCTGCCCCTGACTAATATAAAACCACCACCACCAACAAGGTGTCTTTTTGCCCATTGCCAGGGAAGATTTCATTTTTTTTAATGGCTCAGTAATAGCCAGTATGTAAATATACCACATTTGCCTTATCCATTCTTCTGCTGAGGGACATCTAGGTTGCTTCCAGTTTCTAACTATTATGACAGCAGCAGCAATGAGCATGTTTGACCAAGTGTCCTTGTGGTAGGACAAAGCTTCCTTTGGGTATATGCACAAAAGTAGTATAGCTGGATTTTGAGGTACATTGATTCCCATCTTTCTGAGGAACCACCACACTGATTTCTCTACAAAGTAGTTACTGTGTAGACTGGCTGTAGAAATCTGCACCCCACACCAGCAATGGTTGATTGTCCCCCTTACTCCACATCCGAGCCAGCATGAGCTATCTTTGCTGATCTCTTGCTTTGTTGATCTCAGCCATTCTGATGGATATAAGGTGAAATTTCAAAGTAGTTTTGCATTTCGCTGATGGCTAAGGATGTTGACCATTTCTTTAACTGTTTCTCAGCCATTTGAGATTCCTCTTTTGAGAAGTCTCTATTTATGTCTATGCCCCATTTTTAATTGGGTTATTTGTTTTCTTGATATCTAATTTCTTGAGTTCTGTACATACTTTGGATATTAACTCTCTATTAGATGTGTGTTGATTAAATATATATTAAATATGTATTATATATTATATATTATATATTATGCTATATGCTATATGCTATATACTATATATTTATTATATATTTATTATATTTATTATAATATATTAATTATGTATTATGTATTTATCATGTATCATACATTATACATTATTATATACTATATATTATATAGTATATATTATATATTGTATATTATATGTTATATGTTATATTTGTTATATATGTTATATATTATATGTTATATATTATATACTGCATTCTGTAGGCTTCCACTTTAGCCTTTTGCCATGCAGATGCTTTTTTATTTCATAAGGTCCCATTTATTAATTGTTGATCTTAGTGCCTGTGTTAACAGTGTTGTGTTCAGAAAGTCGTTTTGTTTGCCAATGAATTCAAGGTTATTTCCCACTTTCTTGTCTCAGATTTAGTATAACTGGTTTTATGTTGAGGTCTTTGATCCATTTGGAGGTAATTTTTTGTGTGGGGTGATAATTATGGCTCTATTTTAATTCTTGTACATACAACCATCCAGTTTGACCAGCACCATTCATGGAAGATGAATGGCTGTGTATATTTATGACTCTTTTATCAAAAATCAGATATCCATAGGTGTGTGGATTTAGAGATAGGAAAACTCTAATCAACAAGCTAAAGACCAAAGACCAGTGAAACTCTGTCTAAAATAAATAAATAATAAGGACCCAGCTATGCCACACCTGGGCATATACCCAAAAGATGCTCCAACATATAACAAGGACATATGCTCCACTATGTTCATAGCAGCCTTATTTATAATAGCCAGAAGCTGGAAAGAACCCAGATGTCCTTCAATAGAGGAATGGATGCAAAAAATGTGGTACATTTACATGATAGAGTATTACTCAGCTATTAAAAACAATGAATTTGAGAAATTCTTAGGTAAATAGATGGAACTAGAAAATATCATCCTGAGTGAGGTACTCAATCACAAAAGAACACACATGGTATTCACTCACTGATAATTGGATATTAGCCCAGAAGCTTGCAATACCCAAGATACAACTCACAGACCACATGAAGCTCATGAAGACAGGGCTGGGATGTGAGAATGGAAATCAGTGGTGGGGGCATCTCTGGGACTAGCTGGAGGCCTGGGACTAGAAGAGTCTATGGGGTGTCTACTGGAGTGACTCTAGCTGAGATTCCCACCAGAGGGCTACAACAATACCAACCACCAGAGCTCCCAGGGTCTAAACCACCAGCCTGGGAGCACTTAGGGAGGGACCCATGGCTCCAGCTCTATATGTAGGGGAGGATGGCCTTGTCGGGCATAGGTGGGAAAGGAGATCCTTGGTCCCATGAAGACTGGATGCTGAGTGTGGGGGAATTTGAGGGTGGGGAGGTGGGCGTGGGGGATGGTGGTTGGGGGCACATCCTCATGGAAGCAGGAGGAGGGAAGATGGGATAGGGGGTTCCTGGGCAGGGCGGAAATGGGGTAAGGGGATAACATCTGAAATGTAAATAAAATCTCCAATAAAAATAAATAAATAAAAGAACTAATGAAAAATAAATAAATAAATAAATAAATAAATGCATATGTGTGTATCTGCACATGTGTATGGGTGTGCTCTTGATTAATTTTGGTTTGGAGTTTATTTTGTCAGATATTAAAATGGTTACACTAGGTCTCCCTTAATGTATTACTTGTTCTTTTCTCCTTGCAGCTTTTAATACTTTTCTTTTTTTGTATGTTTTATGTTTTAATTGTTATGTTCCAAGGATTCTTTCTTTTATTGTCCAGCTTCTTTGATGTTCTGTATGCTTCTTGTACCTTTATAGGCATCTCCTTCTTTAGGTTAGGACATTTTTCTTCTATGGATTTTGTGGAAATTATTTTCTAGACCTTTGAGCTGGGAGTCTTCTTCTTCCTCTAATCCTTTGACGAAGGTATCTATTTCTCCTATTGTGTCTTCAACATTTGAGAGTCCCTCTTCCATATATTGGTAAGGCTTGCCTTTGAAGTTCTTGTTCAAGTTCCTAAATTTTGCATTTCTAATTTTCCCTTTTGGGTTTTCTTTATTGATTCTATTTCCATGTTCAGGTCTTGACTGTTTTATTCATTTCCTTCCATTGTTTATTTGTGTCTTCATATATTTATTTGTCTCCTCTTTAAGGACCTCTATCATATTCATAAGGATTAAAGTCTTTTCCTTGTACTTCAGCTATGTTGTAATACCCAGGACCTGTTCTGTTAGGGTTTCTAGACTCCATTGGGGACATATTTTTCTGGCTTTTATTGATCGTGTTTTTACACTGTCATCCAGGCATCTGGGCTTTGAGAAGAGTGCAATTCTAGGTGCTAATATCCAGTCTTGTCTTGATTGGGTGAGTGTTTTTCCGTTGGTTTCTATTGCCCTCTCTAGTTCTTAGAAGGATGTGGCGACTGTGTGCTGCCTGGTAGGAAATTATCCTGGGTTCCTGATATATATGGTCACTGAGGGTCCAAGGTAAAATGTGTTTCTATGTATTGGGGCTAGAAATTGGGGGTGGGTGGCACTGAAGGTATCCACTGAAGCGAGGAAAGCAAGTTGTATTCTACGAAGAACTGTTTAGTCCCCTGGGAATGGTGGCAAAGAGTAAGAAAAGGCTGCAGCAAGTTATCTGCTACAGAAGTGGGGATGAGCCTGTAGGGTTGGTCCTGGAGGAAAAGGAGAGGTTAAGATCTGCAATTATCCTACCTACTTCCTGGCTGGAATAACCTGTGGGTTCCCAGAAAGCCAGTGTTCTGTAGGTTATCAAGGATTACAAATCAGTATGAAGGAAATAGTGACCGGGAGGAAAATTAACTTTTAGATTACATGATTTGGGTCCTTTTATAAACACCTTAAAGGTAGTTCTTAAAGCTTCCTTTTCCCTTGTGATCCATCTCTCATATAATTATCTTTGTAATTGATAAGACAGAACAAAAAAAACACATGGAATACAAAATACCACCTTAACAACTGCTATTGCTTGCAGGATAAAGTTTCTGTGAAGCCAATTCACCTTGATTTTGGGAACCTAGCACTTTGCCAAAGAACTTTGATTTATATGTTTAAATCAGGAGGTTACTACAATGTATTCTGTGGACAAACTGTCATGTGATAAAGGAGTGTGGGAGGTCTGTGCTGCTTGGTTCTGTGCTATAGATGCAGACACTGTTACCCTTTTACATTTACCTCTCTCCAATTAGAGACAGATATCCTCAGTGGACTCCTCCAGGAAGATGATGCTGTTCTCCACATGCTAGCAAAAGAAAGAAAAGGCTTGGCCTTGATTTCAAGGTTGTGTTCTGGAATACTCTGATCCCTGGGCTTATACAAGGCCTTTTACAAGTGCTGCTAACTCCTATGCAAGTGCCTATGCTGGGGCTCGAGAAAAGAGTACTCCTGTCTAGTCTATGACAGTTTCCTTTCATGCCAGGACCTACTGCATGCAATCAGCCAAAGCTCAGGAAGCCTCGGAACTAGTCCCAAACACATCTGGAAAACACTTTTCAGATTCTGGGGTGCTCTGTGGATTGGAGCATGGCTACAAGTGTTAATATGCTTGTAGAGAATCAATTTCATCATTTTCAGTTCCCCATATGCAAACTTGAGTCTTAGCTGAACAACAGAACACTTCCTTTCAAGTGAAGAGTCTAGAATACATGGAAGGGACCTTGGGGACGGGATGGTTGTATAACACAGAAATATTTCTCCCTGTATTTTAGGTAATGTGGGAAGAAGTGGGGGTGTGGACTTTCTTATGTACAGGAATGACTCAATATGATTTTACTGAGACATATAAATGGAATAGGAAGAAAAGGATCCACTGTTTAATCTAGTTCCAAAATGATGATGTATTATTTATTCCATGCTTGTAAAGCTTAACCAAAAATTCCAATGCTAGGAGCCAACAAAATAGCTCAGTGGATAAAGGTGCTTGCTGCTAATCCAGATGATCACAGGTTAAAAGTCACGGGCTATGCATCATGGTACCATTCCCTGGGCAGGTGGACTTGGGCTGTATGTGGAAGCTAGATGACTACGCATGAGCCTGAACTAGTGAGCCAGAAAGTAGCATTCTTCCATGGGTTTTTACTTTAAATTTCTGCTTGAGTTCCTGCTCTGACTTTTCTCCATGATGGACTGTAACCTATAAGTTGAAATATAACCCACACACACAGAAAAAAGAAGCCTGAGACCTGAACAGAAGTCGCAAAGGAATATCTCAAAACATGTTCATCATCCCTAGCAATTAGACAAATGCAAATCAAAACAACTTTGCTATTTCATCTTACTTCAGTCAGTAGGACAAAGATCAACAAAACAACCAGCAACAAATGTTTCCTAGGATGGCTCATTAAGTCTGGCTTA